TAGGTTGTAAAAGATTGGCCTCGCGTTAGATTCTAGCTAAAGTTTTCAACAAGGTCGTTTTGACCTCATTTCAAACTAATTAACTCTGGCGGGAAGTATGTAAGGATCTTAAGTTTTACTAACGTTTATTTTTATTTAAATCTTTACTATCACTTCTTATTTTCTACTTCCGGCCAGAATTATAAGCGTTAGGTTTTTATGCAAAGTTGTCTGCGAACTCCAAGTATTTAAGTGTGGCTTTTTGCCAAGCGAGAGAGAGGAAGCAGTGAGTTCGAAGCAGGCCGCTTACCTTAGAAGTTACTCAGTTGCTTGTTGCCTTCCAGGCCAGAGGGTTTAATCTCTTGATAAATTTAAACGTATTGTAGTGTTCACAGTCTCTGTACTACATACGCTTCCAGTTAATATAAGGCCAATCTTCCACGTTATTATTCTAAAGTTAAATTAGAGTTTAGTTTTATTTTTTATACTTTTACGTTAGACCCCAAGTGGCGGGTCAGCGTATTCCGAAGTACGGAAGTTATTGTATATAGAGAAAAATAAAGGGTTTTTGTATACCCTTCGTCTGTATCCTGTCTACTTACCACAATTAGTGAACATAGCTTTAGTAAGCTCTCTGTTCCGAGTCAGGTCCTTGTATGTTCCCGAAGAAGGTAAGAAGGAACATTGACCCTGATAATATATAGTGCTCAAGGTTCTTGCCAATGACAAGCGCAATCTAGCTCCACTTGCCACGATTTGAATTTTCCCGGCTTATTCTGGTATTAGCGACCTGATCTGATGTTACTGTCGCTTGGTGGGGATATGCCATAAATAAAAATTAACGTTACCTTAATATTATTTAATATGGTTCTTAAAACATTTTATAAGGCAGTAATAACTTTCTTTCAGTTCTTATTTTGTTTGTTTATTTGGCCGTCCTCATCTTTTCCTATTACACCAAATTGTATTTTAAAGTTCTCTAAGAACAAAAACAAAGGAAACTAGGTTTATGTGTTTATTTAAATCTATAATATTAGAAATTGAAAATTAAAATTAAAATCTTTTTTTGTTTTTATACATTGATAAATTATTTCCAAGTGGACTATAATATAAATTTAAAATACACTCATGTCCATAAATTAAGGATAATGCAAAATCAGGCTAAGAGAGAGTTAGAAGCAAAACACATTTGACTTATTTGTAAAGCTCATTTATTAAGCAAAAGGTAAAGAGCAAAAAAAGCTGCTATATGTTTGATATTATTAAAACAATTAGCGATTTTTTCTCCCTGGAGCAAATTGCAGAAAACACCTATTTACAAAAAACGAATATTACATGGCTGGTATGATTGTTAATACATTGTATGTCTCCCAGACGATGCAATACAGTCCGAACAACGCCTAGGCATGCTGAGTATCAAATTATCGATCAGATCTTGGGGGATAATTCACCACTCAAAAAGAAATGCTCTCTGAAGTTCCGGTAGACATGCAGGAAGAAGTTGACGGGTTGCAACTCGTCGGCCAAGCAGGTCCCACACATGCTCTACTGGATTCAAGTCCGGTGAGAAACCTGCCCAGTACATACGGGTGATATCCTCCTATTGAAGGCATTCGCTTACGATGTTTGCATGGTGAGGACGGGCGTTGTCATCCATAAACACAAATTGTGCGCTCATGGCGCCCCGAAACAAACGTAAATGCTGTTCCAGAATGACGTCCCGATAGATTTGGCTTGTCATGGTTCAAATTTGAACATGCAGGTCAATTCTGGAACACAAAATAATTCCATCCCAAACGAGGCACTCCTGCACCACCGTAACGGTGTCGTTCAATGATGTTTTCTTGGTGGTAACGGGTACCTGGAGCTCTCCATATGAAAGTCCGGCGAGAATCAGACTGCAAGCTAAACCTGGACTCGTCGAAAAACATCACACAAGCCTACTGTTGCAGTGTCCACAATGCATACTCTCTACTCCAGGCTAACCGCAGGCGACAGTGAAGGCATCTGATAAGTAAGTGGAACGAATCTGACAGGTCTACGAGCATATAGACCAATCTGTCCTAAGCGTCTGTAAACGCTCTGCCTTGAAATTGTCGTACCAGTGGCTAAATAGAGCCGACGAGACAGGTCTGAGTCTGTGCTCCGTCTGTTTCTTTTGGCAGTAACTGCCAAATACCGGTCCTCATTCGGCGTTGTAACTCTGGAGCGACCTGTGCTGTAACGTCTACTCACATTACCATCATTTTGGAATCTTTGCCAACGCCTCGAGATGACACTCTCGGCAATTCCAAGTTCGTCTGATACTTCCAGTTGGGTACGCCTACATTCCAGACGGCCGATAATTGTACCACGTAAAAAATCATCCAAATGCGTTCTTTGTGTCATAACTATTCGGTTATTGCACTGAAATGCTTATAAAGCGCCTGCGAACAATTTTACTTCTTTGCCTGTATTCCTTATATATCACTCTCTTGCACTTTCGACATAGTGACGTACCTTCGGTGTCATCTGGTTACTTCCTGAAATTCGCATATGATTCCTGAAGATGTGTGTAGTGATTTTACAGGTGATATATTTATTTTAGAGTTCGATTTCCGCGTGACTCCGAATTATCCTTAATTTATGGACATGAGTGTACAAACCTCATTTAACATTTTTAATATTTTTATTTAACCTTTCAAATTTTGCTTCCCATGAAGCAGGAAAATATACGAACGACTAGAGCTTTTATAAGCTACATTATCGAAGCAACATAGCGTTGCCATATTAAGCAATACAAATATAACCACTTTAATTGCGCAAACGATTAGCTATTTTACAGATTGGCGTTAACATACAATAAACAAAAAATCTGAAAAGTTTCAGATTTTAAATTACGCCCAAAGAGGCGTTTTTTTAACGTTTTGTGTTCACCTTTGTTTATTAAATATCATGTTCCTTGCACTTAAACCATAAAATTCAGTTTAACAGCAATGTCGCCAGATAATTTTAAAATGAGTATATCTTTAGAATTTCCGATACTCAGTTCCGCGGACAGGAGATAAAAAGGTTTTTCTTTCCCCGTAAAAGTGTTGCCATTGCTCGCTTCGAAATCGTTGAGTTTGTTACTCAAAAATTCGTTAAAGTTTTACAAAATATGAAAGCGATCATAAAACAAACTCCAAATTTCAAATTTGGGCTTCCACATGCCCATATTCGCAGTAGGATTACGTTATTCAAAATTGGTTGGCTCTAGGTACCGTTGTTTTATCACAATGCAAGAAATATACATATATTTATGCAGATTCTTCATTATTTAATTTCTTTAAATATAATGCAGGGCTCTAACATTTGGTGGTAACAGTTTGAAAAATGACACGCAGCTTAAAGTGATTGGACCAAAATGCCAAAACGAAAACAATAGTCCTTCAGCGATAAAGCCCCCTTTGAACTAATAAAAAAAAAGTGTGGGAAAAGAATATAAATATGTTGATTTTTTAATGCAGACATAGCTTTAAAACCCGCTTTTCATACTTTGATTTTAAAAAAATCTCACTATAGAATCATGTTTCATACTTATAGATTTTTTTTTGCCATTAAAATGTGTTGTGCATAATCCCTGGAATAATTTTACCAAAATTTAGGTAAAATAGTAAATACATTTTTATATTTTCTTTCGACGTCAAAGTATCAAAGGAAGATTCTGTTAACAAACTTATTTGTTTTCACTTATATTCAGTTTTTTCCTTCACAACATGTCTGTTATTATCGAATGTGTTTTCAGTCATCATTTTACTAACTACAATTTGTGTAGGATGCTGAGTCATCTTTGGCATTAACTTTAAACAACATATTTAAAATTATTATAGGAAATGTGTTTAAGTTGTTCATTTCAATGTAAAGTTTATTTAACGAACAAACGACTTTTCTATAATATTATTGCTTTAAAAAAAGTTCAAATTTAATAGGCAAAAAATTGAAATTTAACTAATTTTAAATTGATAACATACAATCTGCAGTTGTACGTATCCTTTTAATTATCAACCGTTCCTGCCACCCTTACACCCTAAGGGCATTCTAGAGACATCAGGTATTTTTTGAAAACAGAAGAGATGAAAAATGAGCATCAACTTCGCCAGGACTCGAACCACGGGCCTCTCGAATACGCGTTGAGCGTGCTTACCACTACACTACGAAGGTATGCAAAGAAGACGGGTAACCTATTATAAACAATTAAATTTATTTTTTAAATTAAAAAAAAAATATTTATTTTTTTGTCGCCTCCAATGAATTGACGGAATTTTATGTTTTTTACGCAAGCACAGGTGCGAATTTAACCTCTGCTTGCATAAGATATTAATATTTGTATTTATTCACTCTTTACTTATATTGTAATACGAAATTTATCTACAAGCTCGATATTAATTCAAAATTCCAATAAACTCTGAGCACTTTTTAACCTGATAATCAAGTACCTGAAGTACACAGAATTAAATTTTGTTGTTATTGTTGCTAATGCTCACTTGTCTGACCTATAGTCAGCCGAAGTCCACGAAATCGCTTCTGGTAAGGAGCGTAAGTGTGCGCCTGTCGTTGGCAACAGCCTTGAGCGGCATATAGGTGACAGTGCGATTTAGCTCAGTTCTGCTCCCAATTTTAATGGGGGGACGGGTTTGAGGGTTTTCCACCACTCTTCCTCTGCCACCAACCCCTCGAGAGGACTTTCGGCTCCCCGCATACTTAGAGTGCCCTATGCCGGACGGACATTATGCATTTACAAATATCCACGCCTTCTAAGGATTCAAGCCCGGGACCTTCGGCACGGCAGTCAGCGACGCTGACCACTAATCCGGTTGAGCGGCAGAATTAAATGTTACTCTTTTCTTTAACATAGCGAATAAAAGTACTGCATGTAGCAACTTTTGCAAAGATGAAAGCATAAACATAAGAAAGTGAAAAGAAAAATAAAGACTCATAATTATTATTCAACAAACAAACAAGAAAATGTTACCGTCTTTTGAAACGGTTCTTCATCTTACCTAACCCCTAAATCTTCCAATCCTTTTCCAGCATTGCAAGTCAGAGTAGGAAGAACTGGTGTATCTACAGTCAAGACGAAAGCACTAACACCAGCCTTAACAGCTTTCTGGATGAGATCTCTAGTTATTTCTCTCTTCTTGAACATGTAGAGCTGCATCCAATACTGAGATTTAGAATCTTGGATTATTCCTTCCAGGTCTTCAATGGGAATAGAGGTATAACTGCTTATAATCATAACCGTCCTTAAATCCGTAACACCTACAAGCCGTAAAAAGTCATCATCAGTTAAACATGAATACAACGAAATATTTATGCATTTCATGCTTTAACACTGCACAAGTAAGTTTGTATAGACATTAGGATATTTTGAAGTAGGAGCTATGAAAAACGAGCAATGCTTTCACCGAGGCTACTCTAACCTAGACCTCTCGAACACGCGCCGAATGTGCTAACACTAAACCACAAGGCATTCAGAAAGGAGGGAGAAAATACTTTAAAAGCTATTAAAACCTGATTCACTGCAGATGAGAAAAACATAGTATCATTTCCGCTGTTTTATATTGAATACAGAGCTAAAGGTACTAATTTTAATTTTTTTTTCCAGTTCTTTGATTCTATTGTGGGATTTAATAAGAAAATTCGCGTAAAATTTTGAACACTGCTCATATTTTGCTGTGAACTATTGGATACAATGAAAATCAGATATTTCAAGATCTGATGCAGGACTGTGGATAATAGCATAGCGCGGTTTCAAGGATTCTTGTCAATTACTCTCGTCCTGTTCATTCGTGTTAAAGGTAAGAGGCGAATTTCGTTTTATTTATTTAATTTATTTAAGATACCCGTACTGTATTAAGGGTAGTCTAATCTCTCTAACTCGCCTTTGGATATATATCAAGATCATATGTTAAAAAGAATCTGATGTGGACAACCCATGACTTCCTTGTACGAGCATCAGATTATACACATTTTGGCTGTATTTCTTTTAAACTCATTTCCTCGAATTTCATTAGAGATATCTTTCTCTTCCAATTAATTCAGTTCTCACGTCGCGGCAAGGTAAAGGGTCGTTCAATGTTGACCGGGAATTTTATTTCTTCCGAGAAAACAGATATAAGAAGAAGCACCAAACTATGTTAGCTTTTCAAAGTTTTCTCCTTGAGTATCGAGGCGCTGTTGGCATTTTTGTGGCAGCTCCCTGATACCTTTGGCGTAGAAAGAACTTCATTGTTGTCGTAGAATCTGGAGGACATCGTTCCGTAGTGCTTCATCTGTCGTGAATTTCTTTCCTCCCAGATAGCCTTTAAGGGGTGCAAACAAATGATAATCACTGGGGGATAAATCTGAACTGACGGGGTGAATAGGGCAGAATTTCTCAGCGCATTTCTGCCAGAGTTGTTGTTGTCACATTGGCCGTGTTAGGTCGGGCGTTTTCATGAAGAAGAATGACATTTCCAGGCAACATCCCAGGTCTTTTCTTGCGAATTGAATTTCGTACAGGACCGTTCAACAGTGTAATACTATATATTAACAGTGTAATACTGTGTATCAACAGTGTAAACTGGTAATACTGTATATTTATCGTGCTCCCTTTGTCCAGAAATTCCCCATGGATAACAACCTTCATGTTCCAGAAGACACTTGCCATAATCTTTCCAGCGGACGACTGTGGCTTTTGGGCAGAGGGGAACCTTTATGCTGCCAATCCACGCTGCTTTATTTGGTCTATGGGGTTTCATTGTGCAACCATGCTTCATCGCACGTGATGATGGATTGCAACCATTCATCACCTTTGACTCGAAACTGATTCAGAAACTGTTCGCAGACCGTCATGCGTGACCACTTCTGATCAAATGCCAGCTGGTGGGGAACTCAACTTGTACAGATTTTGAGAACGTGAATGATTGTCTCAACATTCCCGACACTGATATTTACCTCAGCAGCAATATCCTGCACTTTCACTTGCCGGTTCTTAAGAATCATTTGCTCAACTCGTAGGGTATTCATTGGTTCTACAAAAGTCGGGCGAATGTGTCCATGCGCTCCATTTGTCACCAGCTCTCGTCCTTCGCGAAACTGTTCACACCATTCGTACACTCTTGTCCGTGACATCATTTGTTCACCATACTGTGTTTGCAATTTTCTGAAAATCTCAGCTGGTTTAACTTTCTCCTTCACAAAAAATTGGATTGTACACGGCTGCTCCACAGCCACAGACACAATGCTTGTCGCCATGTTCGTTGCGACGCTGAATGCGCCAAATACGTCATGCCGGGCGTTAGTTACGCGATAAGGAATACATTACGTCACCTGCAAGCTTCATCATGATCCGGCAATTCATCAATTATTTATACGTACGAAATTCCCGGTCAACCTTGAACTACTCTTTACATAAATCTCAATTAAAATGAGAGTTTCTACGTAAAAACAAGCCATTCGGCCAACGGGACAGGAAGACGGATTTTTCGGTGAACAAAACTGGAAGTTTACTTTGGGTCCCACTCAGTAAAAAGACACCGAATGTGCAGAAACTGACTTAGTTCACTATTCTACTAAGAGTTTTCATATGTAAACAAACGGCATATGAAAACTCTTAGTAGAATAGTGAATTTGGGTTAGGCTTAATGGCACTTTAACAACTTTTAACTGGTGCAGGCAGATTAACAAAAATCTTAAAACCCTTAACCGGAACTTAACAACATAATTCAATCGAGTTTAAAGCAAAAAAATGGATACATACGTACGTACAGATGTCGCAAAAAAAATCTCTTTTGAAACCCTTTTAAATCCATTTTTCAATACGTTTTGCGAAAACGAGTCCATTATTCTGTCCGTACGTACAGATGTCACACAGTAGTCAAATGGATATTTTCGTTGAAGTAGGATACCAGAAATTTTTCGTGACTACAATAGTTCCTTTACTACGTACAAGGAAGTAAAAAAGGGCATTTCTCTAATGCGCTGTTGTGACGAAAGATTCATTGTCTGCTCGATACCGTTTGACAAAGCGAAGGTTTCTTTCCTAGCAAAGCTCTTCATTTTTTATTACAAAACGAGCTACATTTTCAAAGTTTTAATTATAAATATATCAGTTACAGCTTTTCGACTACCATACAGAAATATATTTAGTGTGGCACTGCTAACATAAATGGCAACGTTAAAATACCTAGCATTTTCCTATTCCAGAACTGAACAGGTTACTTGAATCACATTTAATAATTCATTTGTCTAGTATTCTAAAGTCGATATTTTAATGATCTTCTGTTGTTCATTAATATTATAATTGAAGTTTTTGAAAATATGTTTTATTAAATGAATTTCTCTCACCTGCCGCAGTAGCTATTTCTCCAAAATAATGTGCAAGTCTCTGCAAGCCAATCGGAGAAAGACCTATTGGAAAATCTAATGTTCGTCTAAAGACGGTCGTTTCCAATTCGGTGTTTGCTACACCTTGCATCACTTTCGGCACAATTTTTACCCTTGAAATGTAAACATATATCAGTATAAGTATGCCGGAAATAGAGTCAAAGCATAAATATTAGCTAATGATAAAAAATCATGTGATAAATGTAAAAGGAACTTGCCACCAACTGAGCTAAGCGTTTTCCTTATAGAAGTCTACTTATCTTCTTACCTGAGTAACGTAATTGTACACAAAAGAAGTTAAGAAAACTATTTATTAAAACGTCTAACATAACAATAGGGAACGCTTGTACTTACAGATCAAAATATAGTTTGCTTAATATGGGCAAGCATTGCCATCCATAAATATATATATTAAGTCACATATCCATTTGAAAAGATTTACATAAGATTCGAAGACCTTACCTCACATCTCTAAGCGATCACAGATCCGTAGTTGAAAACGTATAGGGGCATATATCCGTCGATCATTATTTTTCCCTATACCATTACACCTGCATTATCATAAAGGTAACGTCCCAAAATGCTTAACCCTTTGCGGCACAGTGTGTCCGGTCTGGACACACCTAAAAATTTCCTTCTGTAGGCACAGAAAAATTGAATGAAAAATGATTTATGTTTTACTATAAGTTACTCTGAACCTTCTTTATTTATAGTAGATAGCAGCTCAACTCAAAACCTGTCCATATATTTTAGCCATGTTTAGTTTTTTAAGACCCTCATTTTTCAAAGAAATCTTCCAGACTTTTTTAGGGTATAAAAGGAATTGTTTGAAAAAAAAATGAAATTTTATTTTTTGGCTGTATGCTAATCTCCTTATTCCATATTAGTTTTAAATTTTTACCTTGAATTCTTGCCTAAAATCAAACGGCGAACCTTAGTTGTGCCTAGGTCGGACTCACCGATAATTTAGGTCAACTGAGAGTCTGTATTCTTTGTTTCTCCGCATCTCATCTGTCAGTTCATTGACAACAATGCTCCTTTCAGCACTCTTTTCGAAGCTCTATTCAATCAGTGTGCCACTTTGGGCACACCCACAGAATTAAACCATAAGTGGTATCTTCACAAAATTTTACTTATGTACTCCTCTAGGCTTAATTAGACTGCCTACCTTCTTTTTTTTTTTTTTTTTTTTTTATCAAAACTCCGAATTTAAAAGGTAGCGTGCCGAAAACACTAAACCATTGATGTTCACTCAAATTCTGATGTTCTTTGCAGCAGATAATCCGATTCCTCTTTTGTTGCGTAGACGGCGAAACTCATACCCTTAGTTTTCCGAAATAAATGCATTTTCTGTTAAGAGTTATGTATACAGTTTACCATGATACAACATTTCCAGAGGCGACTGCATGCTCTTAATTTAACTAAGGAGCACTAGAATTTCCTGTTACAATGGGCAGTTATTGCCAGATGTCGACCTTGAGAATGAATTGTTATTCATTTTTAATGTTTTCAGGCTCCTTACGATAGTTACAGAGCTCTGAACTCTTTCCCAATGCGTAGAAACTGTCTTGAAATCTCACCGTTTTTATCACTGTCCTTCCTGCTTCTAAAAAGTCCAAGATTCGCCACATTAAAGATTCTTTCAGATGATTATTCGGAGCCATAACAAAGTGTTGACATGATACTCTGTATTGCAGAAATTCTTTTACAGTCATTTTGCATGGAATCCACAGAATTCATTCAAGGTGTTCACAGCATTTAGAAATAAACCTGAAGCTAGAAACTCGACATAACAGTTTTGTAGTAAATGACATAATACCTTGAAGCCTTTTCGATCATTCTCAACTTCCTGGGATGTTAACCAGCTGATATATTATTTAAAATCTCTAAAAACGCTAATTTGCGCCCTCATTTTTCCGAGTGGCAACAATCTCGTACAAATATGCTTGTAAGTAAAAAAATATGCTTTATTTAGAAATGTGTTGCCACTGCTCGCTTTCAAATTCTAGAGTTGGTTAAAAAAATTTCGTAAGTTTTACAAAATATGAAATAAAAATAGCCAAACATTAAATATATCATTATTATACAAAGTTGTCTTCTGACATTGAAGAAAGCACTCGATTGCATGTGACTTCACTGTATGTCGAAATTTTTTCATTAACTCATAATTCCAGTATCAGCATTTTAAGTAAATAGCAGCTGTTGGCAAATTTTTGTTTCAGGTTACTATAATTTGCACAATATATTAATGCCATTTTAATTCTTTTATCGATAGAGAAAATGTTGTTATATTACATCAAACTTATATCATAATGTCATACGTATTAACGTGAAATGTCAAAAGTTTTTTTTTTTCTTCCTGGTCTGGCTACAAAAATGTTATTTACAAATTGGTTGCTGCTTAGAAAAAATAGCTACACTAGAATATATTGTGGTATACGACTTCATTCATACTGAAATAATTTTTACATGCTTTATTTTTAGGTTTACACAGAACTTAATAATTTTGCTTTGGTCGCAGCTAGCAACTTCGTATACAGTACATTAATAGTTCATTTTATTTTCAGTTTTTCAATACATAGAGCTGATAAACATTGCTTTGGCTGTAGCCCGCTAGTTAAGTATTATTTTTATAAGCCTAGCTTTCAGCTATAAATCTCTCTAAATGTTTTTTTATTTTACATGCAAGTGAGTTGATTTACTCGCAATTTCCAAACCAAACAACATCTTAATGCAGAGCTTTTAAAACTAACATTTGAAATGCGCTTTGTTAATTTTATAAGGATTACTGATAGAGATTGAATTCTTAATTAATGTAACATTTATTGCTCTGTTACTAAACCATATCACTGACAAGTGGCGTTTGGAAGTTTTGCAAAATATTTATTCCAGATATAGTTATAATATTAGTGTATTCTGCCGTTATGCCACAGACAAACAGCACTATAAATTAATCACGTAGTTTAAATTAAGGGTTCCAATATTCTCTTCATTGGCTATGCATGAAAAATGGTTGTTAGTTAATGGTTAACGTCCTATTTCAACCATTAGTTTCTTTCAAGTAAAATAATTACAGGAAAAAATATTAATACTTCATTTTAATTACATTGCATTATTATTTCCATAATGTTTTGTGTTATTAACCAGGCATAATTTAGTCATAACCAGGCATAATTAACTCATTGAGTTTTGTGTTATTAACAGGCATTAACGTTATTATACTAAGCATTAAAATGAATTAAATTATAAGATATTTCTGCCGTCTTCTTAGCACGCCTTCGTGGTGTAATGGTCAGCACAATTGGCGCGTACTCGAGAAGTTCGAGTACCCGGCGAGGGCATTGCTCTTTTTTCATGTTTCCTACTTCAAAAATAACCTAATGTCTCTACAAAATGTTGCAAATAAAAATTGAATATTTTTCTAAGTCGCGTTTATGATAGTTTTGAACAGAAACTGAAATATTGCACATCAATCCCGGAATATTACGTTTTTAATATTTTATTTATTACAAGTTTTGTTGAAAAAAAAACTGTAAATAATTATTAAAATATTTAAAGTGGAAATTATATTTTGCATCTAAATATTTTCAACGTTTTAATAAAAGAATTACGTATGTCAGCCTTGTTACTGATCATTAATTAAACAATGAAAATGTAAAATGTAAATAAAAAATATTCCTTGGCAAACATTTAAAATGACCATGTAATAATGCAAGTAGATCATGAAATAATTTGTTTTCAGTCTTTGATTATATACATAAAGGTTTAAAACGGGTGTTTCTGTATGTAAAAGTGCACTTAAGTCAGAGTTCTAAAATATAAAATTTTATGGAAGCATTAATTTCAAGCTTAACTATGTAACTTTACATATAACAATGTAAAAATAATTCGGTACAGTTTCCTTAAGAAATCACATTAAGAAATATTTTTTTTTTCATTCAGGCTGACAGGGTTTTCCATATTTAGGTTAATGCTCATGTGCTCTTCCATATTTCAAGAGAAAAGGATGTGCCACAGTCTTGAGATCATAGACTGGTTCAGATTCAGAATTCGAGACACTTCGGTTTGTGATCGTCCGGATTCCAGCATTCCAACGATTCTTTCTTTCGCAAGCATCTCCAATTGGCGTCTTTGTGCCATCATTCACCTTGTTTGATGGTTAACAACGTTCTTTCGCACAGCAGTTGCCCGAAACTTGTCTGAACTGCCTATGCTGCGTGAATCGGTTTCTCTGCGTTCCGACATGCGCAGGTGTTTCGCGCAGAACGTAGTCGACTGAAAAGTTTTGCATAAACCCAATGTTTCTTCTTCACCCAATTACTATCCGCAAGAAATTTGGTATAATTTTACGAATATTTACTCCATGTTTTTCGCATTTTACAATTTATGCTTAACTTTTGGACACCAGTGTGCTATATAAAAGATCTAAAAGAACGAAACAACCTGCTCTTTATTTTATGTTCTGTATATAAAGCAACACATAACATCTTTTAATGCACTGAAGTAGTAACATCTTTTAATGCACTGAAAGATAAAATGCTTAAAAATTCTTCATTCCAGTATTTTGTTAATCGTAGTTAGGAGTAGTTCCTATATTATAGGAATTGTACAATGAACTGCTATGTTCATTATAACTTATAATTTCTGTTGCATCTAAAGATCTCGAATCGTTGTACTGGAACGAATGATTAACTTAGTGGAATCAAAATACTTTTATTTTATTATTATGAAAAAATATTAAATATTTTTTCAAATTATACCAACTGAACTCATTAAACTCATTGTATATGTATTCCCCTTTTTTTATAATGACCCTCTTAGACAGTTGGCAAACAACACTATTTATTTTTCTTAGAAAGTTTGATAACCTTGATTTTTCATCACTGTAATTCAATGGTAGACTCTTAGTTGGGTACTGCATAGTTAATTTAGGAAAAGTTTGATTTTTGAAAGCACTGTAGAGTCTCACTTTCTTTGGTAGCATAAACTAGTGAGATTTAGAAAGACTACAGAGGACTAATCCTCTTGTCTTAAACTACAGAGGGAGAGAGTCCGAAGCAGGGTGAAAATAGCTCTTTTATTTGAATACAAAAAAAGTAACAATGATCCAACTTGGGTTTACACAAGAGAAACACTTCTGGCTTAAATTAATGTTGAACTAAATTAATTGTAATATATTAGCCTAAGGGCTCACAGGATAATTTAAACGCGCAGGAAAGGCTCTGATTTATAGAAAACCGACGAGACAAGCCGAATGGCTAGAAGTGCTCAAAGCAGGCAGCAGAATTAAATCGCTAATAGTCACGGTACAGGGTGGCCTGAAATAAGCTGAACACGGTCTAAATTTAACTTCCCAGCCCCTTTCTTAAATAGCTCTTCTTTCCCCCTCAATCTGAATAAACTATCTCTATTTCATTTACATTCTGGCATGAAAAGCGGGAACGAAAAGAGAGTGATGGAAAAGTAACTGAACTTAAAATTAACTATTAGCTCAAAATAAATAGATAAAACCTCACAACATAAAGTTGCATAAAAATAAAAAATGAGATCTTAGGAATAATAGTGGAAATACTAGTGATTCCTTTAATTAGTGTAGTTTAACTCTTTGAAGACCATAACGGTCCAGACGGCCTTTCATTCACACGACCATAACCGCCCCAAACGGCCGAAATTCCGATGTCGTTTTCTTCCCTTCCCTAAGATATGCAGTAGGTGCAGTTTCCCCAAATGCATTGTATCAGTTTACTGCAGACAGCTTGCCCTAAAAGGATTTATTTGTGGTTTCTTATTTTTATTTGTTAGAAGTAGAAAGAATGTCGTTTGAAATCTTCACTCTTCTTTGTGCGTTAATGGATGGGGATGGGAGGAAATTGTTGTGATTCTCGAAAACCATTTCGGGCGGTTTGGTATTTTAACATACAGGTTAGCGAAGACTTCGGTTTTCAAAGAGTTAATAATGCCAAGTGCTGTGGTACCAGCCTCACCAGCATTCCGTCAACATTATTTTGATGCATCATAGAAACATAAAGTTTTTAAACACCATTGTAGTGCTATTTAGAAATAGTCACTAGTGTCACTAAAATCTGCATTAAATAATTTCTCAGGACAATATTTTATTACGTTTAATAAACTTTTGGAATCTTACCTTCTGTAGGCTTCCATGTTTTCTTTGTATGTAATTCCCCTCCCTGATACTCCCAGGAAATAATTTCTAGCTTCTGGCTCAAGCAAAGCAGGTCCGCAACGGTCTAAAACATCTAGCGGCAGGCGATCAATACTGAAATTTGTTTCCCATCAAATAAATTAAATTCGTAAATAGCTCAATTCTATTTTAAACGTATGTATTTATATGAACAATAAATTATCTAAATATCAACGGCATTTTACACAATACATTATTGGATTTTAAACAGTTAGTATTAAAATAGATTTTAAAATTGAAAATAAACAAATATCAATTTAGAATTTAAGGGAACATATATTAGAACTCCACTAATATTAGAAATACAGCGACTGTTCAATTGATATTAGAATTGAATTATTGTTTAAATTAATAGTTAGCAACAATTTGTGAAGTTATTATCAGTACTTCTGTATCTCATTAGACATTAAAAAGAATTCGTTAACCAAAATAGTAGAGATTTGAATATGGCAACAAATAGATTAGGTAGAATAGGGAAAGAACTAAAATAGGTACAAGTAGGTGGAAGAATTAAGATTTGGGGTGTAACTTCTATTTCTTTGCTTTATTAATGATTGATATCAATAAATATTATGTTTTAAGTAATATTTTTATTTTAAACGCACGTTTCCTACAGCCACTGAATTTTCTAAGCAATTTGGTTCCGAATTGTTTTAGTAATAAATTAATACAGAGTTTGAAAATGAAATAATCATAAATTTTAGTAGTACGTTTTGTATGTAAGTTTTAGTTATTCCCTCAAGTTTCATATGTAAAAGTATAAAAATTACTATTCGTGTAATATTGTTAACAATATGTTTATATAACTTGCAGAATTTTAATAGCTTTTTTGTTCATTAAGTGTAAAAATTTCGCTTGTAAATTAGAAAGAAATTATATTCCCTACGAACAAATTAATTTATATAGGGATTTTATTTTCTTTCTTCAGCAGTGAAACTATATCTAGAGTCATTATACCATAAGATGAGATAATTCCTTGGCTAAGCTTGCTTCTTCAATATATTCAAAAGGTGGCCAATTTTTCCATAAAATTCTTCAGAAGATTTAAATCTGTTGTTTTTGTTTCAAATAATTCAATTTTCCGGATATTCAATTTTTGCTTTCTTCATAAATCACTTTTCATGGACCAGCTAGCAATTACCTAAAAATATATACCTAGGAAGAACAATGGGGGCAGTATTTACGCTCTCATAAAAGGATCTCTATGACCTTATGTGGCAGCATTAACAAAATTCGTGTCAACTATGTTCAGAATTTGTAGAATGAGGGAACAGTCTGAATTTGCATTGAAATTCTGAGCAGTTCCTCACCGGAATGTCTGGACGTTTTATTTTGGATCAAAATAGAGTGCCTGTGATCTGTGGCAATACCTGCATTAACGATAGGAAATAAACTATAAAAATCTAATTTTTATTCAATTAGACTTTTAATTTTGTACTTTACTTTGATAGAAGAATGAATGAGAATATTCAGAAAATGAATCCGGAAATAATTAATATTTCTTATCGTGTATTCAATATTCTCAGTGGAATTCTGGGAGAGGGGAACAACATGGCTGAATTTTTCTGCTGAGGAAACCACTTTTTAATTACATTACAAGTTGCAGAATAAAACTGCAATACAGGCGGTGGCAGAGAATTGTTCGTAGTGCATATGTAAATTCTTTCTTTCCCGAAAATTTAGTTTAATAGTTTTTCGAAAGAAATACATACATATTGTTACGAATTTTTTTGTATTTAGTTAGACATTTTCAGTAGAATTATAATTAAAATTGTTATATTTCCCCATGCAATGAGCGCAAGACGAGTTTTAAAGAGAAGCTATGCCCGAAAATTAAACTTACAGGAGCACGTACATTTAACATTTGAATAAAAGTTTGTTTCAGTAATTCATATTTAATTTGAATAAATGTAATTGACTACTATGTTAGATGTAACCGTAATTCTATTCTTTTGCTTTCCAAAATTCTCGAGACGCAGAAATTACAAGAAATTTCTCGCGACTGATTTAAAACTATAAAAACCCAGACAGAGAACATCTCAGCTCACTTGCTGAGTTAGCTGCTGTTATTATGTTTACGACTTCAGCGTGAAATCGGATTAGCTTTCTCTTTGCATGGCGTTGTATTCTAACGTTTTTAGAAGTTTGGCGTACAACTACTGATTATATTGCGGGATATTGTGTACTTGTACGAATATCTCGGAAGAAAATTCCAGCGTCATGTTATATTTCTTTTGATAAGAAGAAATTTTATTACCCTTTTTATCGAAGTTGGGCAGCGAATCTATTATGAACCCGTACGCGCGCAACAACATCTAAATATTATGAAATATATTATAAGAATATATATATATTCAGGTTTGAATAATGTTAACATATTTACAGATTTTATACATTAGCTTTTCGCGACTAAAAGATTTCATCCAAACATACGAAGGAGACGAAAGGCGATCATGCCAAAATTATTACTGAATGTTTGACGGAGTACTAATTCCCTTTGATAAATCAGCACTCTTTCGAGAAATCGGTAATAGTTTACTTATGTTTCTATAAAGTATTGTTCTACGTTTTTTATGTATGTATTATTCCTTTTCCTTTTATTTTATTTTAAAATGTACGTTTTTGAGGCCTACCAGTACAAATATTAAACGTCTTTTATGTTTATTATAAGATTTTAATAGTTTTATCACAGTCCTCTCAAGTTTTAGTATTTCTTAACTTCAATGAGCACCAGATTTACGCTTCCCTTCCTGCGAGATAATCATAAATAGAAAATTAACATTAATTTTTAATTAACAATTATTTATATATATACACATGTATAAACATATCTGATAAATATATTTCATACTTAGAAAAAGATAAAAATTCATGGTAAATTAATATTTGCATACTTTTAGTTAAATTTGCAGAAGTAAAATTCTTGGTACAATACATTTCATTGGAAGAAAGCTGTGAATACAAACATCCAAGCCAAATATTTGCCTCTTAATATGTGTAAATTTAATAAACTTTTATTCTGATTTTAACTGTTTAATAAACCTTTGTTCTGGTAAATTACAGTTTAGATGTAGGGAGAGGAACAGTAAATTATACATACCGGCTAATGTCAATGTCGCAATTTTCAGGTTGGTACTTTTCATTACAAGGGACCTGAATGAAAATAGTTCATATAAATGTACTGACAGTTAACAATTAAATGTTTTAATCTTAGACACTTAAACTTTCTTTCAGAATGGTAAGGGAATTAAATTTTAAATATGGCTAACAGGATTTTAATTTGGCTAACAGGATACCATTATAACATATAATATACGTTTAATATTGAATTTAACAAATGTTCTCTATTCGTCTAAAGCTAATATAAATTAAAAATTTAATTAAGAAATTTTAATTGCAGAAATTAAAATAAGATTAATTATTGTTGCGAATTAATTTACAATATCATTTAATTATTTTTATTTTTATATTTATTATTCTTACTTATTATTTTATTTTTTTTATTTTCACAATTAAAGTTTCTTAATTTTTAATTTATGTTAACTTTATACGAATAGAGAATATTTGTTAAATTCAAATTTCATTCCTTGCAGCAATGGCGCAAGAGAATTATTTAAATTTAATTTAACTTTACTATATTCTTGTGAAACAATATATGTTTTAATATATACATTTGCTTGTAAGTTCTTTTCATGCGGTTTAAAAGAAATTATTTCGTAAATTATCATATACAATTAAATTATAAGCCTTACGTCAAGCCAATCAAAACCTGCAGATAATATAAAGAAAACAGGCAAATATTTCAGAGATTTGCAAAATAGATCAAACATTGCTACTGCTGCTATATCTGGCAGAATATATTCCCTATAAGGCAATGAAGAGGAACTAATTTGTGTTAATGAAAAGGATGGAGTCCTTATATACTGAGATATTTGTACCCATATGTAGAAAAGATAGCAGGTGAAGCAAAAAAAGTACATATTAATCATTGTAATTACGCAAATACATATGCAACTCTTATAATGATGCGTGATCCTTACATATCCGTGAAAAGAATAATGCTACAGATTTTAAATGAGGGCTTATTCTTATCACATGAATAATAATTACAGTAAGCTACGAAAGATATTTTCTTAAATCTGAAGAAATAATTTTGATGCCATTATTGTAAGAAATATTTAAATTAAATTAGATCTTTCTTAGTTTTAAACGGAAGTGAACTTAAGTTGATCATTATATACAAAATTAACTGTGTTAGCTGTAAGTTATTTTCTTGAACTGAAGAAGTTTCAAGCCTTTTCTGACAAATTCGAACTGCGAGCTGGGTACTGCAGTGATCACTACGACTGATTAAATAATAGAATTTACAGATTATATTTAAAGAGTGTTTTAATTTACAAAAATATTCCAGATAGAAGAGCATATGGTTAATTGTATAATAAAAGGTGAATTTTAGAATCACTGAGTTTTTAAAGAAATTTTCGTCAGGTTATTTCATGAAACGTATATAATTGAACAAGATCTAATGCTTTTCACTAATTTATAATATACTTATAATATATTTATAACAATATTTAAAGTTCTTATTGTTTATACAGCTTGACTAAAATAATTTCCTATTCAAAGTAAAATTCTGTTGCACACAGCATAATATCAAAAACGTGAGATTACCAGGGTGGAATTCTCATAAGCTCTTTCCGTGTAAAGTTAACTAAAGAAGCCTTTCTCTTCTAGAAAAACTTTTCCGGATTTATTTTAATTATTTAACAGTTAATATTTTGAGGCACTTTCCTATTATTCTCGCTTTCAAGCCATGCTTTCTTGCCAGAATATAAATGAGTTCCCACACGTGTATTCAAATGAGGGATAAAGTAAGTAAAAATTTAAGGTAAGGTTCTGGAAGGTGAATTTAGAGAGAGACAGAGCGTGTTCTGACTGCCTGAAGGCCACGTTCCTAGTGATTAGATTTCTGTCATTTTGAGCGCTTCAAGCCATTAGGCTTATTTACGCGGACTTTTACGAGTCAGAGCCTGCCTGCGCATTAAGTGACATGTGAAAAGCCGTCAGGCTAACTTAATTCTATTCTATTTTGACTTACTTGTTGCCTTTTGAGTTAAACCTAAAGTGTTAGCTTTTTAAGCACAAGTTGGTACTCTCTGTGAATATATTGAATTAATAAAGTGTCTTTTATACCCCTTTCTATGCATTTTATCGTACTTAAGGCTAATTCCTTACACAGTCTCTTAACGTCTAGTTAGTTTATGCATGCTAGTACATAGACATTACAACCTGGTAGAAAACAAAACCCAGTTAAAGAAAACAAAGCCAGTTTAGCCTCGGCTGTGCTACAAAAAGTAAGTTTATTTTTCAAAATGAGACAAAAACGAGAAAAATATGCTGTTTTCAATGGTGTAGACTAAATAGACGTTTATGAATAATAACTTAATTTATATTGAAATTCTTGCACTGTTTTCTAGAGCGTCTTGAGAGATAGGCCTGAGTAGAGTAGACATTGATAGCCTAGTTACTTTACAAAAGTATGCACTTAGACTCTTATAATAACATTTTAAAGAAGTTAATTTCAGCCTGGTGACTGGTGAGAGAGGGCAGGGACACCTAATGTTTAACATAGGTAAACAGGTGTATGTCCCATGCCTTCTCCATTGAGATTTAGCTCCCAGAGACAACATGAAAGCTTTCCTGGGGGTGTTTATATATTTTAAGCACAAGATCTTGCATAGCTGTTATTTTTTACATTGGTTATAATAGCGCTCTTAGCACAGAGTGGCATTTTCGGGATTCATAGAGAATTATAAAACATAGCATATATACACCATAAAACTATACATATCTTACAAAGTACACATACAATATGGACTTATAATATATATTACATAAATGTGCCTAACACATAACATAAAAATAAACTCACAAAAAGAAATTGAATAAGATGTAGTGCTTATGGCTGCTTTGTCATAACGGCACTGTTATTCTATATTGCACTGCTGTTATTTCATAATTTAAAATTTTTAACAGTTTAAAGAAAAAGGTTCATAAGTTCATTAGTTAATCATATTCAGCTGATGCAAGCATTGTCACTGTTGAGAACGTTCAGTAGCGCTGTTATTCAGTAAATTTCAGTCTGGAAGCCAAACTATCTTTTTATAAGCATAGAAATATCAGTAATAATGTAATAAATTTTAATACATTCACACGCGTTTTTACAATGGCTTCATGAAAAATCCTAAAAAGTGCAGGGTTTTGCAAATAACTGATATATTTTCAAAATTTACACAACGTAAGTATCATTGTTGGGAACTATTTGCTAAATCTCTGATTGATGTAACAAACTTTTTTTATTTCACGGAATTTAACAAACAGAAAACGCGGAACGCCTTATTTTAAACAACTGATTATATTTTCCCCCCTCTTCCTGTTTTTCTCGTAATTGTCATGAAACAAAGAGGATAACATGCATACGTTTTGGCTATGTCCCTTTACAACACCTAAAAAATCTTGTTTCCATATTGTTACAAAAAAGATATACTATTTTCTTAAAACCAGAAGGATACCATCATCCCTTTAATACGCTGCATCTTCACTAAGATGACAAATCCTTGCATTTTTGGGGGTTCCATCTTGTTCTCACACCTAATATTTCTTACCTTGAAGATTTCGTTTTAGTGCATGTCATCGCAATTGCAGGCACGACCTGGGTGAAATAAACATATTTATTTTTAACCAAAATGCGATGAAATATAAATGCTTTAATTTAATTGAAACAAAAATGAACCTGTAGGATAGAATAGTAAATATGAGGATATGAACGGCAAAAAAACCTAAGGAAAGAGTTTGAAATTTCTAAAAATTCATGATTAAATATTTTAAAATAATTTTAAATATTTCCCAGAATATGAAAACAATACGCAGCTGATTAAGAACACAAAATATATTTAATTTTGTTTCTTAAAATTCAAACTGCTTAATTTTATCCCGATTCGTCTTTAAATCAGCTTTAATACTAGAAAGGTTACGTAGCATAAAGTATTTGTTCGTTTCGTCCGAACACACTTAAAAATTTACCTAAGCAAGCATGTGTATTGATTCCTTCTGATGTAAACAACTAAAACTGACACAGCTTTAATGAATGATTTGTAAATGCTGCTAAACGTGAACATATCAGTCGCTGTGATTATACTTGAGACGTTTCTTATATACCTTGAAAGATTTGATAGTTATAGATACTTATGTGAAGAAGGAAAATGCAATCAAAGACAACTTTTTACTCTGTTTCCAAAGCAAAAAAACGAAAACTAATGATAAATCCAAATATACTGGTTATCATAAATTAAGGAAAAATCACAAAAATAGCGATAACTCCCTCGAAAATAAGCCAAACCGTGTAAAATTTGAATATGTTGCCAAGTAAGAGTAGTTGAATAAAACTGCAATATGCAAATTAGTGCCGCTGCACTCGGAATACGTCATCTGCGAGGAGAATAAAAGTCCATGTTTGAGTGCAAGCCCACATATTTCACTGTGATAATGACATCAGAAATCTGAGATAGCCAATTCGTAACAATGACCTCCAGGCATCATTTGCCTGCAGAACTACGATGGAGAGACATTGGGAGACTAGAGGCAGGATAAAGTCCAACAGAGGTGGCCAGATGGCTGGGTGTGAGTCTTTCTGTGATACTTCCTTTCTTTCGAAACAAGGTGATAATATTTCCTATAAAACTCTTAATTAAAAAATACTGGAAAACATTGTACAAAATATTTGCATTTTGTGATATCAACAAGAACATCAGTTTTCCTAAATTCGAACATGCTAATTAAGTATGAAAAAAAAATTCATTAGTGAACATGATCATTTCAAACAGCAGTACAGGTATGTTAGTAATGTCTCATACTGTTTATGATGTTGCCAATGAGCTGCATAGGTAGCAATAAGACAATTTAGGGCTTGTGGAGGGGTTGTAGGCCAGCAAAACGCCTCTCGACAACATGGCTCATACAGAGCTCAATGACATTAAGGTAGAGAGAGTTTTCTGACCATTCCATTTGACTATATTTTCTTCTTCAAAAAACTGAACGATATTTCAGTTTCTTGTGGGCGGGGATTCTCTGTTTGGAAAAATGAAGGTATCACCTACTGAAGCAATATAGGATCGAACAAATAGAATGCAGTTTGTTGCATTTGTACCTCTGAGCATTGAAAGTTCCATGTGGCAGCAGATACAGGTCTGCGCGCCCACCTTAACACACTCCTCTTCATATAAGAATGCTACCTCCTTTATAAGTATCTCTTTCTCTTTTGTTTTAACGGAAGATATCGAACGTTTGCTTCTCTTCATATCTAAGCATATAGTGAATTCCTCTGTAAAACAGAGCAGGATTTATCAGTGAACAGAACAGATCCCCAAGGATGTTCAGTCCAGTTTACACGAACTAGGTGCCCAATTTAAATGCGTCCTGCACTGTCCGGAGGCAAGCAGGGTACACAAAACTAATCTCCTAACATGTATATATCTTTCAGGAAATCATATGCATACTTTCGTGGTTGATACTGCCCTTCCTGTAGCAGAACTAACCGCCGATGTAAACTGATTTGCTAATTCGTTGTCAATGGGCATGCAAACAAATTAATTTTTTGGCACACATCTCTCTGAATAACACTTAATGAAGAGTAAATGAAAACTTATCATTCTAATTAAAATTAATCATAATTAAACCACATTTTAATGCGATAAAGAGTAAAAAAGGGACAATTAATTTTACTCTTTCTCATATCTTACAACAAAATTCCCATTCTCTAGAAACGCATGTTTTCTAAGTGTATGTTCTCTCCTTTTCCTAGAGATTCCCTAACAATGGTCTCCTTT